AGAGGATGTAGTATTCTAGCTGGTTGGATAGCTCAGTGGTTTGGGTCTCTGGCGGTGGAGCCAGAGGTTGGGAGTTCGATTCCCCAGCGGGGCCTCCTAGGGGAAGAGCCAGCCTGGGTGGCCTTGGGGGCCAGCTGCACAATCCCAGGGATTTCCCTCCAGAAGAAGGGAATGGAGAACCACTTCTGAGTATTCTCTGCTTGGAAAACCCTGGAAAAGGTCACTCTAAGTCAGGACTGACTTGATGGCACACAATTATTAATTGTTAATTATAGCATTCTCACATCATATATTATAGCGTCAGATGCGGAAGAGAAAGAGACCGCTGGGGGGGTGGGGGTGGGGGGTGGAAGCTTCTTCTGCCTTCCATTTGCAGCTGCGAAACAAAGCCAGCGTAGATTTCTGCTCTTTGCTGAGCCAGCAAGAGCCGCGCACGGAGGCCGTCCAAGCTGGGAGGGCTTCGCTTTTGCAGATTCCTGCTTCAACGTAAAAAAGAGGATGAAGGAGAATCGCGGGGGCAGAAGGCGTTGTTGTGACGCAGGCCAGGCCAGCCGGTCGGCCAGCTCTCTCTCTCTCTCTCTCTCAAACGTGTGGCGTGGCTCTGGGGCCTCTTCCTCTCAGCTCGGTCCAGATCCGACCCCGCGGACAGCAAGAGAGGACTTGAAGGTAGGAATGGAAATAAGGAAACCTTCCGCCTGCTGGGCTTAGGAAGGCCAAGATTTTCAGACCACTATCTGTGTCTTTCTTGTAAGATCCTCATGGCTAGATTTCCTCCCCCCCCCTTCCTTGGAACCTCTATTTCTTTTTTCCCAAGCCTCCGGATACTTAAAACAGGGGTGGTAGCAAACTCTTGTGGCGGTGAATTCCACAGGCACACTGTATAAAACAGAGCGGCCTTTCTTCTCTCTTGCTGTTCTTTTTCACCCAATGATTACATGTTTTTTCACTGGTGTAAGACAAAGAGGCAGGGTCCCCCCCCCACCTCTCGCTCTCTCTGTTTAGAACAGGGAACGGCATGAAAGGACTGGAGCAAGTCTTTGGATGGAGCACAAACGTACCCTTGTGTGTGGAACAGCGCGAGTAACGAGGGACCTCCCTTCGATCAACCTGAGCCCACCAAATCTTCTTCTTCCGTCTTCTTCGAGACCACCAGCCACTAATGGCGAGTGGCACAGAACAGATCTTTCGATTTAAGAGTGTGGAACCTCTGGGGAGATGATCTACAAACGTTTATCCGTTTGTTCATCTTCTTGATAGCTCGCCTTTCTCTTGATAAGGGGGAGTCAAGGAGGCTCACAAGATTTTAAAAAAGCATGAAAAGGACAATAGGTTATACAGTACATTAAAAACAATTAAACAATGAAACTGAATAGAATACACTGAATATTTAAAAACATATCAAACGTTAAAAGCTCTCTTTAAAGATGGGATCCAGAGAGGGCCAGCCTGATCTCCGGAGGGAGAGCCTCCCATCACCTGGGGGCTGCCACAGAGAAGGCCCTATTTCGTGGTGGCCCCATCAGCCGTGTCCGCTCTGGCCGTGGGCCCGAGAGGAGGACCCCCTCTGAGGAGTTTAAGGGTCAAGGAGGGTTATGTGGGGAGATATGGTCCTTTGAGATGGCCTGTTGACCCACGCCCCTCTCGTCCGGAACCATTAAGTGGGTTAATAAGTATACCCTTTGTATGCGTAGGCCAAGAAAACATATTTTTTTTTTGCCAAGGACCAGCTTGTGTGAACTATGTTGTGGCAGTTCTTACTAGGGCTGGGCCTTTGTGTGAGACGGAAGTGTGACACGTGTTCTTAACAGTCTGTTACTTTCAGTTTTTGGGATTACAAGCGTTTGGGATTTCAGATTCCAAATCCCAGAATCCCCTAGTCCGTGTGGGTGGTGGCCATGTCAGCTTGGAGGCTCCTCTGAAGACTCACAAAGTCAAACTTTCGGGACATTTTGAGCCCCAGTGCATTGCATGCCTATCCCTTCTGCCCTATTAGGGTTGCCACTCTCTCTATAGCAGGGATCATGACATGGTGTCCCCACCATCCCCGCCCCCCGTTAGGGTTCCCCGTTCCCTTCGAGTGTCACAGCAGAGAAATGATTCCCCCCCCCATGATTGGTATATTTGCAAGTGATCCTGGTTGCAATGCAAAGCATTTGAGAGTGGTTTGGTCTTGGTTAAGAGCCGTTAGCTTTACAAAACACCCCCTCCTCATAATATATAGCCATTGCCTCAGAACTGCAGAGTTGCAAGGGACTCAAGCTCCCAACCTCTGGCTCCACAGCCAGATACATGAACCACGGGGCTATCCAGCTGTTCCTTCATGAAACAATCCACCAGCCTCCATTGCTGGATGAGGGTGATTACAGAGGCGGACGTGATGAACATCTGCACTTTTAAATTTATCACTCCCTCACTGGGGAGACATAGCAGTATCCGCTCCTGAATCTAACTGTTGTGGATTTCTAAGAAAAAGGGTCCAGACAAAATCACAGCAAAACATGGATCAAGATTCTTCTTTCGGGTGTTTGTGTAAAAGGAGCAGGCAATCAGGAAGTTAAAAAGAATTTGTGGATGTTCAAAAGATGCCTGGTGGATAGAAGGGTAGTTTGAAATTACTACCCTGTTTCCCTGAAAATAAGACCTAACCTGAAAATAAGCCCTAGTAGGATTTTCCAGGATGCTCGTAATATAAGTCCTACCCCAAAAATAAGCCCCAGTGAAGTGAAACCCTGCCCTCCACCCTTGTGAAGCCACCAGAAGACAAGGACACGACTGTCTTTGAATAAATATGGATGTACATGAAAAAATATAAAACATCTCTTGAAAATGTCCTAATGCGTTTTTGGAGCAAAAATTAATACAATTTTTGGGGAAAGAGGGCAGCAGTTATTCCATCTCTGAAAAGCAAGCATTTGCAAGCAAACAAACAGAAAGATTCAAGGAGCAGCCGCACAAGCCAATGAACCGGCTCCTGAGGTGGCCGAGGCTGGCAGAGGAGCTGAAAAATCAGGCCTGGTAAAACCCTCACCCCTGAAATACTCCCCGTCCCCTGCAAGTTCCCAGTGAGGACCTCTCTCTAGACTGTAGGTTGGTTCCATCTTGGTGGCACCTTTTCATGCCCAGGTGGTGATGATGAAGAAAAGCGTGGCTTTAATTGTAGAGAAATCGGGACTGATTGCTCAAAGGGGCATTCATTTTGTGTGTCTGTGTGTGTGTGTGTGTGTGAAGTCCTCTCCTCCCTCCCCAGCCCCAAAGAGAAGCACTGCTGCGGGGGGGGGGAGGACTTCCTCTCTGATGACAACTTAGCAGAGAGTGATTGTTACTACTTCCCTCCAGACATTTTTCTGCATGAAGAGTCCATGTGCTAAGCGGGCTCCAAGACATGCTTGGGAACTTTCCATCCCAGCCACGCGGGACCAGGAGTCTTCCTGC